TTTTCCACGCGTCGTGAAAGGTACTTGTCTTACGTTTCTTCCTCTATGCATGTGAAAATTATGGAGAACTGAAATTTTTGAATTTTCATGTATCTTGAAGAGATCTCACGTTTCTTTCTATGCAACGATAATTATATAAAGAAATTATCGAAAATCGATATTTTTGAATTTTTCACGCATCACGAAAGATATTCGTCTCATGCACGTGAAAACTATCCAGAATCGAAATTTTTGAATTTTCCACGTATGAAGGATATTCGCCTTGTTTTCTTCTTGAAAATCGAAATTTTTGAATTTTCCTCGCGTAAAGAATATTCCTTTTACGTCTTCCTCGAGAATCGAAATTTTTGAATTTTCCTCGCGTAAAGAATATTCCTTTTACGTCTTCCTCGAGAATCGAAATTTTTGAATTTTTCACGTATCCTGAAGAGCGCCTTATATTTCTTTTTCTGTGCAATTAATACAAAGAGACTATCGAAAATCGAAATTTTGAATTTTTACGCTTCGTGAAGAACATTCGTCTTATATTTCCTCCTCTATGCACGTGAAAACTATCGAGAATCGAAATTTTTGAATTTTTACATATCCTGAAGAGACCTCAGATTTCTTTCTCTGTGTAACGATAATTATACAAAGAAATTATCGAAAATCGATATTTTTGAATTTTTCACGCATCATGAAGGATATTCATCTTATGCACGTGAAAACTATCAAAAATTGAAATTTTGAATTTTCCACGCGTAAAGAATATTCCTTTTACGTCTTCCTCGAGAATCGAAATTTTTGAATTTTTCACGTATCCTGAAGAGCGCTTTATATTTCTTTCTCTGTGCAATTAATACAAAGAAGCTATCGAAAATCGAAATTTTGAATTTTTACGCTTCGTGAAGAACATTCGTCTTATATTTCTTCCTTTATGCAGTGAAAACTATCCAGAATCGAATTTTTTGAATTTTCACGTATCCTGAAGAGCGATCACCTCATGCTTTTTCCTCTGTGCAATTACATTATTAATACAAAAAGGCTATCGAAAATGGAAATTTTTGAATTTTTCATGCGTGAAGGATATTCGTCTTACGTTTCCTCCTCGAGAATCGAAATTTTTGAATTTTCTTGAAGAGGGATCGCCTCACGTTTTTCCTTTGTGCAATTAATATAAAGAAGCTATCGAAAATCGAAATTTTGAATTTTCCATACGTCGTGAAGAATATTTGCCTTATGCACGTGAAAACTATCTAAAATCGAAATTTTTGAATTTTCCACGTATGAAGGATATTCCTCTTATGTTTCCTTGAAAATCGAAATTATTGAATTTTCACGTATCCTGAAGAGCGATCACCTCACGTTTTTTCCTCTGTGCAATTACATTATTAATACAAAAAGGCTATCGAAAATGGAAATTTGTGAATTTTTCATGCGTCAAGGATATTCGTCTTACGTCTCCTCCTCGAGAATCGAAATTATTCAATTTTCACGTAGCAGAGCGATCGCCTCACGTTTTTCCTTTGGGCAATTAATATACAGAAGCTATCGAAAATCGAACTTTTGAATTTTCCATACGTCGTGAAGAATATTTGCCTTATGCACGAGAAAACTATCTAAAATCGAAATTTTTGAATTTTTCATGCGTGAAGGATATTCGTCTTACGTTTCCTCCTCGAGAATCGAAATTATTGAATTTTCACGTAGAAGAGCGATCGCCTCACGTTTCTTCGTCCGCGCGCGTGAAGGAGGAATCGATACTTTTTTCACGCGTCGGAGAGGCCGTATAGGAAATTTCGAATTGGCGCGTTTCGATGGCGGGAAAGGAGAGGAATAAGCGTAGAAAGAGAAGCCGCGGCGAACCCTCTCAGACGGATTATAACACGCGGAAAGTTCACGACCTTTTGTCTGGCGTTACCCTCTGGGCGATGGGCGAGAGCCAACGGGGGTAATCCTCTAACCGGGCCGTTATGCCGTTGTTGACATTTAGCCCCCGCGGCCGCTCTCGAAACCGGTCCATGGTGTTACGTGTGCCGAGAAACAGACCGAGAAACCCTCTCTCTCTCTCTCTGTTCTTTCTTCCTCCATTTCTACGCAACACGCACAAGGCCAGAAAAGGAAAAAAAAAAAAAAAAGAAAAGAAAAGAAAACAGACAAGGGGTCCGTTCTTCGAGCGAAGGG